CTCTCTGCCTGCATAGCCGAGCTCGAGCATCGATTCCTCTTCAGGTCAGCACCCACAACCCCAGGTTTCCGGGGCTGGCAAATTCAAGCCACCCAATGGTGTTACTTGTTTCAATCACTGTCTGCAGACGCCGATCCATTGCTCCCGCAGCAGCAGCCGGGAGAACAGGTAGCGGCGGGTACGCACCGTTGTGAACACCGCCGGGGGCCTGGCGGTGCAGGCAATGGGCCCCAGAGGTCAGTGCATCTCTCCCTTTCATCCAGCGTTTCCTGCGCACACTTGTGTGCCCTCTGTACATCTGCTCGCGAGCACAGGAAACCCTCGGGACTGGGAACCGGCGGCCCCCGAACGCCGCGCGCGCGGGAGGGAGGCAAAGCCGCAAGGAGGGGGGGGATCCGCGCGGGGCAGCTTCTGAGCTGCAGCCTGGCCGCTGCACAACCTTTTGGCCGCACAGAGATGCTGGCAAGCTTCTCCGTTTCCTTCCTACAGCAGGCAAACTCTCTGCCTGAAAATAACTGGGCCTTCTCTGTCCTATTCCACGCTGCAATGGCTCTGGTGCGGAGAAGACGCAAGTGGATCTGAGCTTGGAAAAGCACACTTACAAAATCATGACAGCTTCTGCCTTATAGCCCTTAGCTGGAAAACAGTCAGAGTGGCCTAAAATAGGATGTTTCTGTGGATCCAGTTCTGTTCCCGTTCAGCACAGTTGTTCTGAGCAGTGGGAACAAAAAATGCCTGGGCTGCTGCGGTGCTGTCCTTGGGCCCCTTAAGCCAGCCTATTAACACCTCTAATAGCCTTTGCCAGGGCAATTTCCCGGTTCCCGCTGCGCAGTTCTGGCTGCAAGGCACTGCTAACCTGCAACTGCCCTGTATTAACACTTCTGATTGTTATGGCCAAGCAATTAGGCCACGCTCAGCCCAGCAAACTGGCCAGAGCAATTATGACCATCCTATTAAAACTGACAGAGCTTGTTCTATATATAGAAACGCAAGGAACTGACTGCTTTATTTTTTCCCCTTCCGTAAACGATTTCCCCCAAGTCTCCATGGTCCATTTAGCTGGTTTCAGCTGCAGCCAGCTGTAAGCTTTGGAGGGGGCTCTCTTTGCTGCAAGCCATGTGCAGTTGTTATTTCCTCTGATAATGAAGGCAGGCTGGAGCGGTGTCAGCATGCTGGGGGCGGGGGG